GTTGTAGTCCCTGACAGGGCGCCATTTATGTAACACACACCCATCTGTTGCCAGAATTTACCGGGGGCAGGAAAGTGTGAACAAATGCAGCTGTAGGTTGGGTTGATTTAATATTCTCCAGAGAACACTATTACTGTGTGCTTTAGAGGAGATAAAATGAGAGTTTATAGGAAATATCGCTCGGCCCGGTAGACATGGCTTGTTAATAGTGTTTGTGTCTGTGAATCTAAGGAAGAAAAGTTCAGTGTGGGGCTATGGGGCTAATCCAACCAAGACTTACTTAGAGTATAAGGAAAAATGCTACTGGAGAAAGGGGAGTCATTTTTGTTGTTGTTGTTGTTTTTTAATGTGTTGTTGTCGGTACCATTGAGTCAGTTCTGTTGTTCATGCACAACAGAACGAAACATCCCAGTCCGGCAGCACCCTCACAGTTCTGACACTTGAGTCCATTGTCGTCACTACGTTTTACAAATGTACTAGCTGTTAAGTCCTCAGCCAACCTTCCTGGGCTCCTCTCCCATCATTAGATGCAGTGAGGATGAGCTGGCCCAGAGCTGCAGCCCTTCAGGGGGAACTTAGAGGCTGAAATCCATCCACAGCAGGTGGACACAAGGCAGCACACTGCACACAAAGCAGTGTTTGTTACAGCTGCCATATACTGATGCTGCATGTAGGAGACTTGAGCAAATACCTGAACAAACAAATCACCTCAAGGAGTCCCCCCAATAATCCTGCTGGGGCAGGGGCAGGTTTATTATTCCCTATCTTATGGCTAAACTAGCTGGGTTTTCGCACAGCGAGAGCCTTATTGGCAGAGAGACTGCATCTCTTTTGCCAACACTGATTGGAAATGGAGGCTTGGAGAGCCGTCTTGAGGAAGAGCTGGACGCTGCTTCCTGTTTCATCAGGAAAGGGTGCCAGGCCAGGAGAACTCAGGACGTGAATGGTAGTATGTGTGTCACATATTTGATGTCCCCAGATTGAATCCTTACCCAAAACTGGGGAGGGTCCACAAGGTGTGTCTGACCCCTCTGGTTTTTCTCAGCACACCTGCCCTGGGATGGCACCCTGAATGTGTTGTCAAAGGAAACCAGAGTCTCCTTCCTGTGAGAACTCTCTGGGACCCAGGCTGAAACCCATCCTCCTTAGTGGCTTTCCAACGGCTCCCAGGACCCATCTGTTCCCCTTGTAGCAGTCATGTTAGTTAACTGCTAGGTGACCCCTCCCTTCAGCAAAGCCCACCATCATCACCATCCTCACCCACATCACCAGGGTGTGTTGTACGCACAGAAACGATTCTCAGTGTATAGTTTTCAAGTGAGTGCATATTAGGGGCCCCCAGCAGATTGTGTCTATGGCAAATCACAGTAGTCTTGGACAGCTGCTCAGTGGGACTTTCTGCAACAACAGAAATGTTCTTTATCTGCCTTGTGTGTTTCAGTGTCATTTAAATGTAAGTATTCACATGTGGCTAGTGGCTACATATTAGACAGCTCAGGTCTAGGTGTTCCAGATACAATGGTGAGCAGACAGACAGACCCTGGCCTCATGACCCTGCCCCTTCTTAAGGGGCAGGGACAGTAAACAGCAAAGCAAATGGATCAGGAAGTTCCAGACACTGCTCAGTGTTCTGAAGAAAGTAAGAGGGGACAATGGTGAGAAAGGTGACCAAGGTCTTCTCTGAGCTGAATGACAACGAGCAGCCATGGAGTGTGCAGGCCGAGGGAACACCAAGAGCAGGCTTACACAGTTCCAGGGCAGGAGTTTGTCGCAGGTAGCACGTTGTTGAAGGCAAAGGAAAGAGTGAAGGGAGGTCCCCAAGGTAGTTGGGACCTCTGCACGTTTCACTCCAACAGACTCAGAAGAGAGGGCAGGGTCAGAGCAGGGCTGTGTGACCTTGGGCTCATTCCTCAGCGCCTCTAACCTTCAGTCTCTTCATCTATGAAGCAGGGGGAAGAGGTGTCTAATCAGTCTATGTAAAGTGCTCTGAACGCCTCTCTGAGCTCCGTACAGCTGTCAGTCCTGTCATCAAGAGTGATGCAGTCTGACTGAGGCGTTGAAAAGCTCATTCTGACTGCTGTTGGAGAATGGGTCTTAGGGGAAGGGGAATGGGCAGACAGAGGGCGTGTGGCATGGTCTTCATCTGTGGTGGCTTGGACTAGGTGACAGCCCTTGTGGGAAGAAGGGGGCCCAGCAGCATGAATAGACTCCATTCATCTGTGACTGTATTCGCATTTTTAGCATTGCCTTTATTATTATTATTATTCTTTCTCTGGAAAATTTCAAACAAACGTACAAGTGGAGAGATTAGCTGTTCATGTGCCTGCCACCCAACTTCAACAGTTATTAACATTCTGCCACTCTTGTTTCAGCTATTCCGGTAGCATTTGTAAGTAATTGTAGATGTTGTGCCATTTTAATCATAAATACTTCAGTGTTCTTGTGTCAGGTAAGT